GGGTCACTTTGTTATAACAAAAGTTTCACAAAACAATGCTTAACCTTCCTAACATTGACTAGTTAACTTATTAACACTGATACATGATGAACACTGATATTTTCTGTTATGTTTCTTTTTAAAAAAAATAATTCTGGTCACACCTAGTAATTTGTCCCTGCCTGCCACTTGAAAAACACTTAGGGGACAGCAGTAGTTACCTTGGGATAATCAAAGCTCCTTGTTATTTCTACTTATTTGCGTGAGACTCCATACTAAATTATATAGTTTTTAGAGAATAAAATAAATCTGGTTCCTAATTACCTAAAGCTTTATACAAAGGACATTTTTTAAATTGTAATGCCTGAGGTCCTGATCTCAACTCTGCTGAAAATAAGCAGTCTGTGATGCCTACAGTTTGGGACTCCATCAAAGTGAGAGTAAGACCAAAAACCAAACCCACTGCTGTTGGGTCGATTGTACAGTAAAAATTCTAGGAACAACAGAAACAGCCCAGGGCAATTTGTACTTTGAATAACATGGCTTTATCAATTCTCTGGACCTAAGCTTCCTTATATGTAAATTAGAGTTAGTAATCCATTATAGTGCTCTTGTGACATTAAATGAGGTACTATCCATTAAAAAAAAAAAAAAAAAAAACTCACTGCCATCAAGTCAATTCCGATTCATAGCAATGCCCATTGGGTTCCCAAGGCTGTAAATCTTTATAGAGGCAGACTGCCTCATCTTTCTTTCATGGAGCAACTGGTGGGTTTGGACCACTGACCTTTTGCTTAGCAAGGAAATGCCTTAACCACTACACCACCAGAGCTCCTTTATATCTGAAAAGTGCTTAGTATGATACCTAGCATTTATTAAGTGCCCCCCAAAATAAGAGTTGCTGTTAACATGGTTGCTTTTATTCCATTCAAATTGCAGCTAATATTGTCAGTGAGTAATGTACCAATATTAACCAGAGACAGATTATCACCACAAGTTTTTATTTCAGGCTAAATCCTGAAGAATAGACATCTTTAGTTGTTTCATTTCTAGAAACTGATGCTATTTAACTCAGTGACTCTCTGAATAGAGATGATACCAAATATTTTATTGTTTCTTATGTTGTTGTTGTTATGTGTCGTTCAGTTGGATCTGACTCATAGTGACCCCTTCTTGTGTTTCCAAGACAGTATCACTACAGAAGTAGATTTCCTGACTTTCCTTCTGAGGAGTAGGTGGTGGATTTGAACCACCAGCCTTCTGGTTAGCAGTCAAGTACCTTAGGCACTATGCTACCAGAGCTCCCATTGTTTCTTATATTTAATGCTTAATAACAAAACCTTGTTGCTCGTTGTTATATGATATTCATTCCAAGGCTGTCTTTAGTATTTTATTCAGTTGTCCATGTTCTTTTAATCCATTTGAAATAAAGAGTATTTGGAAAGGTAATAATATGAGTAGCCTCTATGCTTTATGTCTATTTTTACATAAACCCAAGAAGTAATTTTATTAATGGTGTTTCACATTTATATTAATCACTTTATTATGACATGTTTTCAACTTAAGATCATAACATTCACTCACTCACTGCCGTCGAGTCTTTCCCAACTCATAGCAACACCTCCTTGGGTTTCCAAGGCAGAATCACTACGGAAGTAGGTTGTTGTGATAGTTGGAGCTGTGTGTCAGCTTGGCTGGACCCCAGTTCTGTGTGGTTGTTCCCATGATGGGATCAGATGACTGTGTTCTGAGTGGGCAATCTGGTGAAGGGGAGTTTCCCTAGGGGTGTGGCCTACTTCCAGTATATCCAGGGACTTCCTGGGAAGAGAGACATTCTTCTGTGTGTCAGGATTCTGTTTTGCTGCCTACAACTGTCCATGAGTGAGCAGTTCACCATTCGGCGGGGAGATCTTGGACTTGTCATTCGTTGGAGTCAACAACCACTGTACTGCCTGCCAGCCTTGAGCTCCTCAGCCCCTGCAGTTGCGGGAGCCAGGAAAAACCTCCAGCTTTACATTTGATCCAGGAACTTTGAACTTGCCAGCTCTATATGTGTGTGAGCCATTTTCCTAAGATAAATTTCTCTCCCTCTCTCTCTCTCTCTCTCTCTCTCTCTCTCTCTCTCTCTCTATATATATATATATATATATATATATATATACTTTGCTGGTTTTTGTTTCTCTAGAGAACCCAGTCTAACACATTTGGTACCAGGAGTGGTTCTAGAGAGACAAAATCATAAGGATGGGCTTCCTAGATTGGTTCTCCAGTTTGATTAATCTTAAAGACACTAGCTACCCTGCGTCTGTTAGTAAAGAGGGCCCTGCTAATCAGTAGTGTGAGGTGGCAAAATTAATACACGAAATAGCACCACCAATAGATCAAGTACTTGTGAGAAGTGGCGCTCTGGGTGATTGGATATTTGATACTTTTCTGCAATTTTGTCAGCATGAGGAGTATAAGAAAGCTGGTTGATTGGTCCTACTTACACTAGACAAAGTGGTGAAAGAGCGAGATGAGCTCAGAGTTGCTGAATCTCGGTTTAAGCACCACATAAAAGACCTCAGTGCTTCCAGTTGTGCTCTGAAAGAAAGCCTTATATCTTCTAGTAACAGAGCTGATACTGCTGAAAACCAAATCCAGAGTCTTATTGTAAGGGTGGCTGAATTACAACACCAATTATATTGCCAACCCAGAACGGTGTCTGATGTTAAAGTGAGGGCATTGATTAGAAAAAAATGGGATCCTGAAACCTGGAATGGGGACATATGCACAGATAATCGGGAAGATCAGGATATAGAGCCTGTAAATTCTGTTGAATCCCTCCCATCTGAACGGATTACTGTGAAACCATTATACCCTCCACCTCAGTTTGATGGGACTAGCGAAACCGATCCTGCTGGGTTATTGTCTGAGGCAGAGGCCGTGGAAGACATCCCTGAATGCTCTCAGGAACTGCCTCAACCACCCATTGTTGCTGCTAGGCCGATAACTGAAGTCAAGTCCAAGCAAGCCCAAAAGGTGAAATAGAAAGTGTGACTGAGGAGGTGGTATGCAGTACCTGAAAAGACCTACTTGATTTTGCTAGCATGTACAGACAGAAACCTGGAGAATATGTATGGGAATGACTACTAGGGTATGGGATAATTGTGCAAGGAATGTAAGATTGGATCAGTCTGAGTTTATTGATTTAGGTCCGCTAAGTATGGATTCTTCATTCAGTGTCTCAGCTCGAGAGGTTAGGAAAGGATCTAATAGTTTATTTGGTTGGCTTACTGAGGCATGGATTATGTGGTGGCCTACCTTAAGTCAAGTTGAAGTGCCAGACCTGGCTTGGTATAATGTAGAAGAAGGTATCCAGAGGCTTAGGGAAATTGGCCTGTTAGAATGATTTATCACATTAGACCCTAGAGCCAGAAATGAAGAGTCCAGAAGACACGCCTTTCACCAGTACCGTGAGGAATAAATATGTGAAGGGGCTCCAGCATCCTTGAAGACTGCTGTGATTGCTATTTTATGTAAACCTGATTTGACAGTGGGAACTGCCCTAATTGAACTAAGACACTTAACTACGATGGGGCTGATTGGACCCTGTCTTATAGCAGAAGCTAAGTGGCAGCAGTTAATCCACAAAGGCAAGGTGGGAGTGGTTACCATAATGGACAGCAGTCAGAAAAGTAATCAGAATAGTCTGACACATGTGGAATTATGGCATTGGCTACTTGCTCATGGAGTTCACTGGTCTTACCATGTTCCCCATCATCCTGAAGCAGCTGCCTTGATAGAATGATAGAATGGCCTCTTAAAAACACAAATACGGCACCAGCTAGGTGGCAATACCTTAAAGGTTGGGGCAGTGTTCTCCAGGAGGCTGTCTACGCTCTAAACCAGCATTCAATATATGGTTCTGTTTCTCCAATAGCCAGGATTCATGGGTCCAGGAACCAAAGGCTGGAAACAGGAGGGATCCCACTCACTATTAACCCAAGTGACCCACTCAAAAAATTTTTGCTTCCTGTCCCTGCTACCCTATGTTCTGTGGGTCTGGAGATCTTAGTCCCAAAGGGGAAGAACACTCCCACCTGGAGACACAATACTGATTGCATTGAACTGGAAATTAAGAATGCCACCCGGCCATTTTGGCTTCCTCATGCCTCCAGATCAACCGACAAAGAAGGGTATTACTGTACTGTCTAGTGTGATAGATCCTGATTACCAAGGGGAAATTGGGTTGACTTTACATAATGGAGGTAAAGAAGAATATGTCTGGAATATAGGAGATTCTTTAGAACATCTCTTAGTACTCCCATGCCCTGTGATTAAAGTCTATGGAAAATTACAGCAACCCAATTCTGATGTGACTGCTGACAGCCCAGACCCTTCAGGAATGAAGGTTTGGGTCACCCCACCAGGCAAAGAACCACGACCAGCTGAGGTGCTTGCTGAGGGCAAGGGAAATATAGAATGGGTGGTGGAAGAAGGTAGTTCTGAATATCAGCTATGACCACGTGACCAGCTGCAGAAATAAGGACTGTGATTGTTATATTTCTTTATTGTATATGTGCATCAAATATTTTTGTTTCCTTCTGTTATGAGCTGTGAAATGTAAATAAGGTTAATGCATTTTGGTTGTATGTGTGTTAGCATATCATGTTAGACACAAATATGACTTTATAATTGTCCTTATTTAGAGATTATATATGGTTAAGAAGATGTGTACAACTGCCAAGTTGACAAGGGGTGGACTGTGATAGACTTGCGGGCTTCTATATGTGTGTGAGCCATTTTCCTAAGATAAATTTCTTTCTCTCTCTCTCTGTATATATATAAGGTTTGCTGGGTTTTATTTCTCTAGAGAACCCAGTCTAACACAGTTGCCCCCAACCTTCCTTCCAAGGAGTGGCTGGTGGGTTTGGACCACCAGCCTTCTGGTTAGCAATCAAATTCCTTAGGCACCATGCCACCAGAGATCCCTAGATCATAACATTAGATGACACATTAATGTTTTATGTTTCCTCTAGGTTGTGCTCCATCTCCAGGTGCTTATAATGTTAACACTTCAGAAGTATTGAAAGGACCTGTGTCCTTTCAGAAATCACAACGCTTTCAAAAACAAAAAGGTAATGAATCCTAAAATAAATGGTTATATGATTTCATACATTTTGAAATTATGTATAACAATATTTGAAGATACAGTCTTTCTAAAAACAGGAAATTAGAACGATATTTAAATTTTCTTATTTGATGGATTTATGAAAGGATCAAGTACAGAATAATACTTTCATCTTTACACATATAAGCAGAAAACTTAACAAGACATTCACACAGACATAGGGTCTACTTTTGTTAATTACTTTAACTTTTCTATTAGGGAATATAAAGAAAATCAGAAAGATATTAGATGTATATAAATTATTGTGCAACTAACTATTTGGAAATGTACAATCAAGAAAGGAGCAACTGTTTTGCTACAGTAATTGTTGCAGTAAGATACTTGAATATTTTTTGTCTGTGGTAAAAACATGTTAAGCACCAACCATGATCTGTACAGGTCATTTTTCTGCTGCTTTTGCAGAAGCTCAACAAAATCTTAATTTTGACCAAGATACAACCTTGCCTGCTTCAGCAAAAACAGTGAAGAGTTTGGGATTAAAGGTGAGGAGTCTTTATATGCCAAGTGGTTTATCAACTGTATCATTGAACACATTTTAGCAGATGTTTTTGAATAGAATGGGGTAAGTGTATAAATCAAAGTTATAAGTAAATCCATAAAGTAATGAAGTATATTATCATTAGCCCTTCAGCAAGTTTAACAATTTCTGGGGAGGTCATTACTAAATATATTATGTGTAAACATGTATTAAAAATTACTCATTGGCAACAAACGACAAAAACATAGTTCAGAATTCAGAATTACAAAATGGCCTCTGCTTCACAATCATTTCTTTATTGTGACATCGGGATGAATTTCACCTTACTTACACCTTTTAAAATGATGTGATGCTCTATTTGTTAGTTAACAGCATTAGAGTTATTTTTGTTTTGCTTTTTCTTTGTTTTTAATTATTTTTTGTGGGGAAGGATAGGTTTTGGTAAAGGGAAAAAAAAAAAAACTAATGCCTAACACAAACTGCCAAGAAATGATGAGAGGTTAACTTTCTAATAGTTTTATGTTAAGGCATGAGCAAACACCTACAATTAGTGTTTTATTAATTCATAAGCAAGTTATACTTTTTTAAGGAGTTATAAAAATTATTAGACATTTCAGTGTGAAAAATATTCACAGAGGAGAAGCTAAAGATTTTGGTTAGACTCATATACTTATTCATGCATTTGGCAATTGTTGTTGTTGTTGTTATGTGCCATCGAGTTGGCCCCGACTCATAGCGACCCCACCTTGGGTTTCGGAGGCAGTATCACTACGGAAGTAGGATTGCCCAACCTTCCTTCCGAGGAGTGGCTGGTGGGTTTGAACCGCCAGCTGTCTGGTTAGCAGGCAAGTGTCTTAGCCACTATGCTACCAGAGCTCCCATTTGACAATTAGCGAAGTCTATTCTATAATATGCAGGTGTGTTGTCTAATACAGAAGCCACTAGCCATGAGTGACTATTGAGCACTTGAAATATAGCTAGTGTGACTAAAGAACTAAATTTTTTATTTTATTTCATTTAAAACCAAAACAGCAGATGCACAATTATGCTACTAAAAAACTTTTGAATGTTTTGGAACAACTTGAGCATGTGAATCTACTTTTTCTTCTGTAGTTTTATGAAATCTAAATATAGATAAATATTTCTGATGAAAATTTAACATCTGAAGTGAGATGTACTTTAATTGTAAAATACATGTCAATTGCTGCATTCTTAGTACTAAAATATTAAATTTCTCAATATTTTTAGTATTAATGACATTAAAACATTATTATATATTGGATTAAATAAAATATATTATTAAAACTAAATTTTAATTTTTAAGAAAGGCTAATTAAAAAAACTCACACTCACTGCCGTTGTATAGGAGCTCTGGTAGCACAATGCATAAGGCACATGACTGCTTACCAGAAGGCTGGCAGTTCAAACCCACCAGCCACTCCTCGGAAGGAAATTTGGACAATTTACTTCTGTAGAGATACTGCCTCGGAAACCCAAGGAGGGGTCGCTATGAGTCGGGTCCAACTCAGTGGCACCTAACAACAACACTGCCATTGTGTCAATTTGACTCATAGCGACCCCTCCTTGGGTTTCTGAGGCAGTATCTCTATAGAAGTAGATTGCCCAATCTTCCTTCCTAGGAGTGAACCACCACCCTTTTGGTTAGCAGTCAAATGCCTTTTTAACTTGTTTTTGTTTTGTTTTAATTTTTATTGTAAGTTGGGTGAAAGTTTACAGAGCAAATTTATTTTCCATACAGCAGTTCATACACATTTTGTTTCATGACAATGACTGCAATTCCTCACTATGTAACAACTGTCTTCCCAGTTCTTCCTTGTTGTTACCTCTTCCCTGTGTCCTTCCCTCCTATGCACTCTTGCCCCCCCAATCTGTCTCCCTCTGCAAACACTGCCTTTCTGTTCTCCCACAATTCATCACTCCAAGGAGTGTGTCTACCTGATGTAAATGTTCACTCCATATGCCTGTCTGTTTAGTTGGAAGCCACAGGAGTGAGTTCGGTTCCAGACCTGAAACGTAATTAGGGGCCCTAGTCTCAGAGGTCTCATCAGGCTCTATCAGACCAGCAAACTTGGTCTTTTTTTTT